GCAACTTGATAATATGCTGCCAAAAAATTAGGTAATAAATCTGCCATAATACTAAATTATTAAATTATATGTTTTGTTGATAAGGTGATGTATGGTGATAAAAAGGGAAGGAAGTATAAAAGAATAAAAATAGAAATAATGAGACCAGCTCAATTTAAAAGAAAGAATAAGTATTTATTATGGGGGTCAAAAAAAAAAAAAATAGATTATTAGGGAGATAAGAAGGAACAACTAGCAGAAGAAAATTTTTTTTTTTATCGTTAAAAAAAAAAAACTTGGCGTTAACTATTTAACTTTGAAACCCAAAGAAATATAAGTTTTATATGAAAGTTTTTAAATTATTTATTTATTATGCATTACATATATATTATTATGGTTAATCAGCCACGTGATAGTAATCACACAAATGTGGCTATTGTTCTATATAAAGTTCTGCGCCAAATGTTCCATAAGATTTATCTTAAATTTTCCCGCTCATTTCTCGACCGAAGTGATGAAATCTTCTTTTTTTAGATTCTTCAATTGCAAACGGCTTCACTTGTCTGTGTAATAATTTTTAAAAACTTCTCCACACATTGTTGCTTGTTCCGAACCTTAAATCCGAGGAGAAGCCATGCGATTGCTTAACAGAGATGCCTGTCTGAATAACTGACTATCACTTACTTCGATCGTTTCTAAAGCTTATAATAATATTTATATTTATACATCTTCTCGAATTCATTTTCCATTCCATTATAAATCTTTTTACAAATTGATCGACTTTCCTTTTGTGCGAACATCACCTAATATATTTCATTGTTCCACCCAATCAACTACTCCTTGTGTCTCTATAAAAATCAGTCAAAGCACATGATCCTACTTTTAATCTATCACATAATATTTTCTTGTGTAATGTGCATATTTGGCAGCTTTATAAGCATCTATTGTTGTGAAGTGTTAATTTTTTATTTATTTACTATATTTATGTATTACAACATTCTACCATTACCATTATTATAGTTTATTCAATTAAGGTAAATTTTATTCTAACGAAGGGTTATTTATTGTACTAGGTGGCATCAAATATTATTGATTGA